AAGCTACTGAACCCTCAAAAGTCAGGTTTTATAATGGAAACACTGACACAACCTTAATTATAGCTCCACAGTTCTGCAAGGGGAGCTTGGAAAATGCATTTGCCGAGTCTGATTAGGTTCAGCTGTTATCCTCTATTTAGAAGACGACAACTCTGGCATACCGGAATGGTTAGACAATGTTAAGTGGCTGGCTTCTCTGCACGCCTGCACAATAGGGTGCTGCTGGGGTTTCTTAATTCCTAGCTGTATAAATATTCAGGACCTCTGACCCACATTCCCAGGCTCAGTCCTTCCCTGAAACAAGCTGGTGCATACACGTAGTACAATCGCACCTCACATATGGTTGTCACCTCTGCTTGATTTCACCAGATCTTGGGGTTGTGGCATATCTAAAGGTAGAAGGACCCCTTGGAAAGACAGTGAAATGCAAATGCTCTGGTAAAATTATTTTAAAGCTTACTTACACACTTTAGGCCCTGATTCAGTAAGGTGCTTAAGCTTGTGCTTAACTTGAACAACATGAATAATTCCAGTGACTGCTGAGGTTGCCCACCACCTCGGCATTACAATCCTTCACTGAATCACTTGAAATCCGCCAACACCCTCTCATGCTAGGGACTGCAAGGGGTGCTGATCAAGAGCCAGCAAATGTGATGGATGTTCTCCTGTGGGCAGATGCACTAGCTCTAAGACCCCTATGCATCATCTTGGTGAGCTGAAAAGCTTTCCAGTAATAGAGAGTAGGGTACAGTGCAGCTACATTGCCAGCATCCGTAGCATTCTTTGGCACAGACCGCCATAGGGCTAGAGTTAATGGAAAGCAGTATCGGTAACACTTTTCCAGTCAGACTGTTCACATACCAGTGTTTTGTACTTTGAAGTATTTAACTGGTTGTACTTCTTGCCAAGGTAGATTTACAAATCACTTAAATAACAAATCTTCAGAGCCAGTTACTGGCTTATATTCTCCTGTCTCATGCTTGCGGCAGTATTGTGGTGATATTAGTCCTCCTGGTGAGTTCTACAAGTATTGCTCTAAAAGTAATTCAGAGTAAGAAGGGCAATCCAAATGAAAAGGAGATGAAACAGTTACCCAGTGGGCTGTCGTCTTCTCCCACTATTAATCAGTTGCAGAGGATATAAACACAAATGGAAGCCCTGCTTTATAGTAGATACTTATTTAGGATTCACCTTCTCATGAACACAATTATTGTTTATCCAGTTATATTATATCCAGGACTCAACTACCTTGGAGCCAAGTGTTGCACAAGATGTGCCACTCAGGAGAGGGAGAGTGCCAGAACAAATGCACTCTTTCAGTGCTTAAATTATTAGAGTTATTTTTGTTAATGTCAGCATTTGATATCAAAAATTCAAAACTGAATGGATCCTTTATGATAGCATCGATTGAAGCTACTGTCCAGCATCCCACAACCTTTATTCATGTGAGCAGCTGTTTTAGTTGTTTAGCTTGAATGGAAAAAGGACAAGTATCCCTTAGGATTAAAAAGAAGAAGAAAAAGTTTAAAGTTTGCATTTGTATCGGAACATCCTTTGGTTTCAAGGAAGCTGGATTCCAGAGTTCAGCTTTGGGAGTTATCTCTGATCAAATAAACTTGGAGAATATAGAAAACCAAATGGCTTTCCTCAAACAACTTTTGCTTTTTTATTGCAGCAGAAGTTGAGAGCTGAATATAGAGAAAAGGGAACCCTGAGGACTTTGTTGCTTTTTGGTACGTGACACCTACGAAGTGCTTCATTTGCAAAGCCAATCGCCTTTAGAAGTTACTAGGCAACAATGCCCTACGCTCTTGATATATTCATCCAATGAGTATTTTGAAGACTTAATAACAGTGTCTTGTGTTTAACTGGCTGACTGTACTGCCACTTGATATCTTGCTGGATTACCAGTGTGCCTGAAGTTGTGGAATAAGCCTGGACTTTCTTCTTCATTTGGCTGGATTTAGCTCATCACAAAGTTGTCAGCTTTTTTCCAACATGTGCAGAATCCTGATACCTTTGTTTTATTGTTTCAGATACAACAACGTGGAAATGTTGAGGCCATTCTTTGCTTTTTGTTCTTGTTACCTCTTTTACTTCAGCAAGTATTTTTGATGCTTGCATATAAGGAAACGTTAGATCCATTATAAAACTTAAAACTAATCGGAAATGGACATATTTTTGTGAACTCCCATGAACAAAAAACAGTTTCTTATTAATAAAACCCAGCGGCTGTTAAATTACTGCTGAATAAATATCTTGCAGATTTAGTAAGGAAAACATAATTACAAATGATCTTTTCCAACTCCTGCACTAATTAAATGAAGAGATTTCTTCTGCACTGTGCGCTTTGCAGACATAACTGGATATTAAATTACTGCATTAAAACCATGTCTTGTTGTTTTGCATTTACCCCGCTCTCTGTTGAAGATGTCTCAGTCATCTAAATTGAAAAGGCTTGGTTGGTTTTGGCCTTTTAATTAAGTGCTTGTATAGGACTTTAAGATTACTGCAGATTCATTTTGGTTGCATTCATTCTCCTTTGGCCTGTAGATGAAGGAGCTGCCAACCACAAGTGGATCAGGCTGAGAAGAAGCCTTATCTTTAAGTGAATTGTCATTAATTCTTGGACAGAAAAGACAAGTTAATAAATTACATTTACATGTGAGGACTGATAGAGAGGGCTGCTGCATCCACACCATTCAGAGGCTCAGCTCTGGACTAAAAAGGGCCAGAAATGGTTAACAGAGCAGGAGCTTGTGAGGACTTTTATTTTCCTGGTATGAAGGTTTGTCAAGGCTTGACATTTACTTAGGAATTGTAGCATCAATATAAACAAGCAAACAAAAAATCCCACAGTCCTAGCTTATTCCCTAAAATAAAAATATAGAAATATTCCAATGTCATGGACAAAGTCTGAAACGTACAGTTGTGCTATGGGTCCTGGTGATGGAACAGTTTCCTTGAGCAAGATCTTGCAAACCGTGCAGCCCTAGCTATGTCAGTGCAATAACTCGTGAGTTCTGCAGGATCAGATGGTTTGTTTCTTAAAGCTACTGGGATTAAACATTAAAATACTGCTAAAATCAATGTATTTCCATTCTATGCATAGTAGTACTACTATCGGAGCAACAATTCCAGGTAAGATGTAAGTAAAGATCATGTAAAATACACGTGGTTCAGTTCCTTATGGGAACATCACTGCACCAAAAATCAAACTGGTTTGTGAAAAAAGATGGAATCCTGACGATGCTGGGTCAGTGGAACACCTTTCATACGCATGTTCTTAAGGCCAGCAGTCAGTGGTATGAATCTGAAGGAAAATATGCCTTTATTTAGCAGTAATTGTTCTTTAGGTGTTGGTTGCAGGGCTTCCCCAATGTGAATCCAAAAACCTCTGCACTGTTTGTAACGGCCTCATCCAAAACCCACTAAAATAAATAGAAGTTTTCCATTGACTTCAACAAGCTTTGGATCTGACCCAAAGTTGAGTGGCTGAGAAAATCAATCATTTGTCTGAGGAAGTTCAAGAAAGCTTAAGAGAAGCTTTTAATCAAGCATAGGATTATTTTTGTTAATCTTCAGAGAGGTCATTTTCATAGGCCTTGATCTGTCTTTGATTGAAATCCCTGGGAGGTCTAGATTTAGTAGAAGTAGGACTGAATTTCTTACTGAAACAACCCCAGTGTGTTGCACCTTCACAGGGCCTGGTGGACTGCCTGGCCTGCAAGAGTTATTACTTTTGCTTTAAGGACAGAAATAACAATGACTTCAACCATTTTAGGGTATGTAGAATTGTTCCGTATTGTTTCTGAATTTAATGTAACAAGAGTTCATTTAGTATGTTTGAAATGTACTAAATGTAAAATGTGGGACTATTTGACTAGCATTATATGGAATGGTTGTGTTGTGCATTAGTGATTTTGGTGTATTTTCAATGATAATTAGCATCCAGGGTGACATGTCATTGCCTCTGTCTCTACTGGCAAGTGAACTCTGATAAATGGAAACACTCCACTTTGGAAGGAATCCAGAATGTTTCAGAGTTAGCTTGACAGAAAGAAAAAAAATGTGTACTTAAAAGAAATCTATACCAGCAGGGTATTGCTGCAGCTTTTCACATGCAAAGTTTGCCTTTTTTGTAGGAAACACTTTAAGTGTCCAGCCAACCTGTTACTCCCCACACTGGTTATCTGAAAAGATGAACATAACTAGTTACTAGGAGTAAGCATCAAGTTCCTGTGTGGAAAGTAAAGAATCACGTCCTTTTTTATAACAGCAGATGCTTATTCCTATTTCCCTGCCCACCCCGTTTCTCTCCCCGTGCTGCTGGGCAGCGTTCTGTTTGCCTCTCATCGCCCCCAGAGCTGATTGCACTTCGGTGTTGCTTCACAGCTACCCATGTATTGTTTCATCCACCTGTTGTATCTTGTCAGCAAGCTCTTTGGGGAAGGCTAATCTTTTTCACTGTTTGTACAATGTCCAGCACAACAAGTGATACTGTAATCTTAATTTAGATACTAAATAATAATAAATTGCTGAATAGTGTGTGGCTAGAATGCATGCATAAATAAATGCAGAGCAGCATTGATTATGCAGAGATATTAGGTCCTTTTGTCTAGATCTCTAGTTCGAGCCATGTAGAAGATGATCTATCAGGGATTTTATCTGTCTTGATGTCAGTTTCTGATTGGCAGTACAAAGGGATGCTGCTTAGAGTCCAGTTTATTTCTCCCTTCATCCTCCTCCTCCTCCTCTGTTGTTTATCCAAATTGCCTTGTGGTTTCTGTTAACAGAATTACCAGTGCTATGGTTTTAATAGTTCATATTCATGATGGGGGCATCTGATCCAGGGATGAAGTTAAATATAACCCTGTCTAGTGTAAGGAGAAGATTTAATGGGAAATGGTTGGCATTCTTTCTTCCTAAAGGCACAGAGGAAGAGAGTGAGTGAGACGTGTATATACACACACACACACACACACACACGGAGAGGGAGAGAGAAAAGGGGAAGAGAGAGCAAGCAAGACAGGCATAGACAGAGAAGACCGTGAAGAAGAAGAGCTCCCCAAAGCAGACCCGTGTTTCTAACTTGGAATTTTAGAGTGCAGCCAGCATGGTCGTCCTCAGCCTAATTACTTCGGGATTTTATCTTCAGCTTTTCTTCTGCTTTGTTCTCTCTCAGACTTCATTTGTTGACAGTGTCTTCTCAGTTTCAGCAGGTAAATTATGACATTGCTTTAGCTCTCATTTGTTACTTTTATTTGACTGGATCTTTCCTTTGATTTTTACACTTTCTAATGATTGCAAAGGTAGGTGGAAAAGTACTTGATTGCAAACCTAGCAGTTGTTAGAGGAGGTAGCTGAGGATTTTTCACTGTAAACCTGTGTTGCTGTATTGTAGGGTTTTGTTATTTCTGATTTCAACAACCCTCTCTCCTTCCCTGTTACCAGTACCCATCCAGTTCCTCAGCTGTTGCAAATTGATATGTCCCTATTTATCTCTATAGTACATTGCAGTTTTACATTAGCCAAGGATCTGGCCCAATGAGTATATTAGTTGCACGTCTGCATGTTTCTTTCTATTTTGGGGGAGCTTAGGTAGATTAGAGCAGGGGAAAGAGAACAAGTCCCAATGTATATCTACTTCTATAAATATATTCTTGACCTCGTCCAATGTGGTTGGACTCCAGCTTGGAAGTTAGCAGAGTAAACATCATCTGGCTCTGACTACGACACTAACAATACCCAGAGGACTTACATAGCGAATGAGAGCTCACTGCATGGAAAATCCCTGATAGGCAAAAGGGAAAACAAATTAATTGTCAGCTGAGCCAGGGCACTGGAAATCCCTTTTAATAGGATTTACAGTTGAATCAGCTAGGCTTTCCTTCATCAATGCCAAGTGAAAAGTAAGAGGAAAGTTGAAGACCACAGATCTTCAGCTTTCACCTCTTTATGGCAAATTGGTACTTCTTTCCTACCAAAACCCTAGATCCAAATCGCACCTGAATTTCAGGGTATTCCAGACCAATCCCACTTTGGCAGCTTGAGATCAATGCGAGTGATCAGAAAGATGCCCATTTTAAACAGAAGACAAGTCCTCTTAAAGCTGCGCTGTCTCTCGCCCTCTCTCTCTTTCTCTCGGTGCTGAAACCAAAAAGCAAATGTATTATATTCAAGATATTTAAGAGGAAATGTCCAAGAACGAAGAGGGAACAGGCATATGGTGATAGACTTTGATCAAGCAGTATTAGCATCTTAAGTGATTTCCTTTGACTTTTTTTAATTTTATAGAAATTTTCAGCCAGATTTAATGTTCACAAAAGTGAGTAGTTAGTTGTACTTATTTAAGTGCTCCCTGCTGCACTTAAGTCTTGATCTTGTATATTCCACATGGAAATCTTTCCTTATCTGAAACTGCCAGCCAGGGCTGGGAGGAGGTAAAATTTGATCAAATGTCTCTAGGGATCAGACAGAAACTCATGTTTCCATTTGCAACTATTTTTATTTTTTTGTCTTACATTTAAATGCAGGAATATCACTTCCACATGCTGCACATCCTCAATGTTTTGAACTCTTCATTCATAAAAACGTATTATAACTCATGTGTCAAAATTCTGCTTGCAACAAGAGTAATTCAGGCAGCACTTTGGAAAGTCCTATGGCATTTAATAGGGATGGAGCAAATAGGATCCTGTAATCATTTACCATTTCTGTTAAGAAAACATTTCTGTAGAAGCTTAATGTTTCATAGGCTTCTATAAAGAGAGAATTATATCCTGTAAATGCTAGTGTTTCTTTTGCTAATTTTAGTGAGGCAAATAAGTTTACATCATATTCCAGAGCAGGATTCCAAAATTTACAGAATTGCTTTTGTCCATATTACAGAGCTTCTCAGCCTCATTCTTTTTTGACTCCAGAAATACAATATGGCAATTCATCTGTTGCAAAGAACTCAGAAAGACCGTAACAGGTCAGAAATGCTTTTGACACTATGGATTTCTATTTGAAATCTCTGGGTTTATCTTGTGAATCATAACATCCTGGTTGAGAATCACTTCTCTACTCAATTGCATATGACTTTTCTATTAGGGAAATGTTAATGTTGAACTGTTTTGGGTTGGATTTTTTAGTTCCTGAAGTCCCCTCTTTATATCGAAATCACATTGTGCATTGTTTGGCATGCAGGTTATTAGACTTTGGTTATTAGTTTCATGAAAGCTTTCAATGCATTCAGATAAAATCTATGATAAAGTCAAGTTACCAGATGCATCATCCTGCCTTTCTCATAAAAGCATTTATTCAGATAGAACATGTAACTTATACTACTACTAACAAAATATAATCAACCTAGGTTGTGGCAGAGAGGCACCAGTCAACTTTGTGGGAGAAAAAATGATGTGGGAGGCCTAGAAAAGGAAAAGCTCAGTATTTCCTCCCGAGTGTTTTAACAACGCTAGAGGATGCATTTGTGCCAGGATGAAGAGATTGAAACCACTGGGCCTGAAAATCTAGGGCAGCAAGAATGCTGAGGTGAAAAATTTGGTATTTTCAAGAACACTCAGCATGAACGTTGCTTGTTACCTGTTATACTTCAATATTGCCACAAATACAGGTATCAGCCTAGTGCCTGGAGTGCATGACTTCTCAGAGGTGGGGAGAGGGCAGGAAACTCCCTGCACAAGTAGAAAGTAGAGCTCTTGAGAGTGACAGGCTCTAATGTTCCTGTCCCAGCATCCTGCCATAAGAGGATGCTAGTCTGTGGCTTACATCCCTACCACTGGCTAAACATCGGCAGCATTCACTTGTTTTTCCTAGATAGTGACAGACTAGGAGCAGCAAATTGTTTTTCATGGTGCATCCCCTCTGACTTTTCCTGTAAGGAATCCTGGCCAACATGATTCCCAGAGCAGGGGCTCTCCTGGCTAGTGTCTCTCTTGTCTTCCCCCTCTCCAGCCAGTAGCCATTGCATAGAAGTCTCAGAATGTGTGAGATCCAAATTTGGATTTAAACGTCACCATTAAGTTCTATTCAGGGTGAAACAGACTGGGGTATTCCTGTTTTTAAGGCTAATATTTAAGGCTCCAATCAGAGATCAGGGCTCAGTGCTACATACTACATACAAACATAATGGAAAGATAGGTCCTACCTCAGAGAAGTTGCAAAGCTAATTCTCCTGTCATGCATTTCCAAATGGAACACTCCAGAGCAACCTTTCACTGAAATATTATATATGAACCTTAAGCAAAAATCTAAACAACACTATTACAGACTTCTTAAAAGTAAGTACAACTTGTTAAAACCCAAACCTTCCTTAAATCAATTCCACACTTGTTTTTGTAAATCTTAATATTTTAATGCTATTTTTTATAATCGGTGCTGTCATTCATATTGCAACTGAATGGAAAAACATGGCAGTGAAACTGTACAAAAGTACCTAATATTTGTCAGAGCAAACAGACCCAAATCCTGCTAAGGCAACATTGCAACATCTATTTGATACGGTGGAAAAAGTAACTTCTAGTGGGTGATGCAATTGTAATTGCACAAAACAGAGATAATTGGTTCATAGCTTGTAGACCCCTTAATCATATTGGTGAGCATCTATGGCTGGGCACAGACAGTCAAGGAGGTTAGGGGGAGGTTAGACTGAGTTAAAAATAGCCACCCAGTCCAAGGTAAGTCGGCATGGGGGGCTAGCAGGAGGAGTAGGTAGGGGGGATCAAGGAGACTGTGGGGGGATAAGGGGGCAGACAGGGTCCATGGGGAAATTGGGGGGGCAAATGGGATTTGCAGGAGGGATTAGGGGGGTCGGGGGGGACAGGTGGCATCCATGGGGGGGTTGAGGGCAAACAATCCACAAGGGATTGGGGGAACAGGCAGGGTCCATTGGGGGTTGGTGGGTTCCAGGAGGGTTTGGTGGGATCAGGAAGGCTTATGGGGTCTTCAGGGAGGTTTGGGGGCAACCAGGGGCTATTTGTAGCTTCTCAACCCCTGCTCCCAGTGAACCTACCTCCTCATCCCTCCTGCTCCTCCCCCCCCCCCCCTGGTACTTCCTTCTTTGGTTCCAAGCATCAGCAAATGGTGACGAAATCAGCACCAGGAGTGACTTGTAGGATGGGGGCTAAGGGGGGCACTGTCTGGTCCAGGGATTGGGGACAAGGTGACAGGGGGCTAAAAATAGCCTGGTGCTGGAGGGGCAGGCAGAGAAAGCTCAGACCTCTGGGTTGGGCCAGTGGCTGGGCTTTCCCAGCCCTGGGGCTGCGCTGGGAACTGTACAAAAGTTCAGAAAAGTTAGATTGATCTAAAAATGGCCAACCTGATCTAAGATAAACTACCTCAGAAGCAGGGTTAACTTAGATCGGGTCAGCCATTTTTAGACCAGTCTAACCTTCCTGAAACTTTTGTACTGTTCACTCTTAGAGAGATCTAACTAGAGATCTGAGTGTAAGGTCTGTTCCCAGGTGAACTAAGTTAGCTTGGGTGGCCATTTTTACCATGATATAACCTCTCCCTAATCCCTGTACACACCATATATGCCTGTTCACCAAAAGGTACGAGGGATTCACAAGCTAGTCCTGGAGTAGGGAAAATTTTATCAATGATAGATAAAATAATGAGCAGGATTCTACTATTGCTTTGACTATATCTGCATTTGATAACAATCTCCCATGGGGAAAGCCACGTGTTCTATTTTACAATAGAACTCTCTTAGCAGGGGAGGAAGAGGAAATCAACAAACCACAGTATAAATTCACCCACATTTTAATGGTCTTGCAAATGCCTGTTGTGTTCTATCACTCTATGCCTGGCTCCTAAGCTAACTAATTGTATCTGGCAATAGGAGATGACTGCTTGTTTGAAGAACAGGTTTCAACACTACACTTGCAAAGTAGAAAACTAATTACATTTCATAGCAAGATCATTCTTGAGCGACGACTTCTTCTTCCTATAGTTATAAAAATACATCTGGCAGTTTTCCAGATATGTTTGAAAGTGTGTGACCACAGGGCACATTAATTTCTACCCTCATGTCTTTCCACGGCAACAGGTTACAAATAAATAGGTTTTCAGGTCACAAGAATGTAACTAGGAAACAGAGACAAACAACCTGAGTGGGGGTGGGGGGGAACCCTTTTTAATTATGCAAAGTATTTGAAGAAGGAATGACCGTTCAGATCAGTTAATTTACAAAAGGAATATGTGCATTAAAAAGTAA